AGTCCTGGCCATTTGGGGCCGATTATTACAGGTGTTACTGTTTCCCAGACTCTTTGCTGGAGATAGTAATCTGATTTCCTACAAGTCTGACATAAGGACAGTAAGCTTACTTCCTGGGTTGGTTACTGTAGAAAATAGGTTGATTTCCTGGACTGGTTACTGTAGACCGTGGGTCAGAGCTCTATTTTTACATATGGTCTGGCCATTTTCTCTTTGTATATTCAGTCTCTTAGCAGAAACTGAGGCCCAGAGAGGGGGAATGACTTACCCAAGATCTAACAGCTAATAATAATCAGAGCTGATAGGCTTAGCATATTTATCTGATCATCTCCAAAGGAACTTACAATTGTATTTTTGAGGAAACAAGGTTTAGATCCATGGAAAAACAGAATTCAACACAGATGTCATAGAGACAAGTTACCAGAAGTTAATGGTTAGGGCTATAGCTTGGCAGAAAGGCACATCACTTTCCTCTGCTATAGCTAGGGCCACTTTTGGTCAAGTGCTTTCTACGTACTGGGCATTCCATCCATCCAGCAAAGTGAAGTGGTTAAAGGCATGATTCTCTAGTCGCCCATCTGCATCCACATTTTACCTCCACCACTGGTAGCTGCGTGAATTTAACGAGATACTTTACCTCTCTGGTCTTCAGTTTCCTCCTATGTAAAATGGGAATAATAATGGCACTATCTAATCATGTTCTTGTGCAAATTAAATGAGCAGACACTTGTAACATACTCAGAGCACATACATAAAAGTGCGAGTACAAATCAGCGATTACAGTTTCATTTAGACCTCATGGTCATTCAATGTGGCAAGTAAGATAGCCCCTACTTTGCAGATGAAGAGACTGAGGAGGATTGTGTCATTGTTCAAGATAGTGAGGGTCAAAGTCAAGACTTTCATCCATGTCTCTAGGAAGCCTAAGCTCATTATTCCTTTCCACTATGCAGCTGAATACAAGATGCCGTTGCCGGGAAAGAGGACAGGAGCATGCAAAAATGTCAGAGCTTGTAACTTGAATACTGGTAATAATACTACCTACCTCACAGAGTTGTTTTAAGATTTTTTTTTTTGAGTTGGAGTCTCACATTGTCGCCCAGCTCTGTCGCCCAGGCTGGAGTGCAGTGGCATGCTCACAGCCACTACAGCCTCAACCTGCTGGGCTCAGGTGATCCTTCCCCCTCAGCCTTCCAAGTAGCCAGAATTATAGGTGCATGCCAGCATGCCCGGCTAATTTTTTTATTTATTGTAAAGATGAGGTATCGCCAAATTGCCTAAGCTGGTCTTGAACCCGTGAGCTCAGGCAATCCTCTCACCTCAGCCTCCCAAAGTGCTGGGATTATAGGCGTGAGCCACTGCACCCGGCTGTTTTATTTTTTATTTTTAATTAGAGCCTCACTCTGTGACCCAGGCTGGCATGCCATGGCATGATCACAGCCACTACAGCCTCGACCTGCTAGGCTCAGGCAATCCTTCTGCCTCAGCCTTCCAAGTAGCTGGGACTACAGGCATGCACCACCATGCTCGACTAATTTTTTTTTATTTATTGTAGTGGTGAGGTCTTGCCAAGTTGCCCAGACTGTCTCCAACTCCTGGGCTCAGGCAATCCTCTCGCCTCTGCCTCCCAAAGTGCTGGGATTACTGGCGTAAGCCACCACGCCCAGCCTTCTTTTAAGGGTTAAATAATGTAATGTATGTGAGGTTTCCAGTACAGTGCCTGGCACTTGGTAAGTACTTAATGATTATAATTGAAAGTGACTTAATCATAAACCATTCTTTAGTGTCTTTCCCTCAATGGTCTCACTTTCATGAAGTTTTCCCTTAACCTCCAGTACGGCTTGACCTCTCTGTTGTTGAATTCTCCATTGTTAGTGCTATGGTAAGTCAAGAAGAGAAAAGATAAGTGACTTGGAGGAGGAGATGGGTTCTACAGCAGAGAGAAATAGGCAAAGAGGTAACAAGTCAATGGCCGTATGGTAACGTGGTGTTCCAAATAAACCAAGGCTTCCCATGGTCCAGACTTTTAGAAGTGTCAAAAATGCTTCCCAGGAAATGCTTTCTCCTCAGCTCTGTGAGTCAACCTCAGCTTGACCATCTGGGAGGCTCACATCCTTCGCAGGTAAAACCAGCTTCTGCCAGAGTCCAGCTCCAGCCAGGTTCAGGGTACCTCAAAGGTGGAGACGGCATCAGCGATTGGGGGGAAGAAGAAAGAGAGAGAGAGAGAGAGAGAGAGAGAGAGAAAGAGACTGGACCCCAGTCTAGTGCAGAAACCATGTGTGTCATTGGAATTACAACGGGTTTTTTATGCACAAAGTCAGATGTGGGAGGGGCGTCCCCCACCCACCAGAAACTTTAATCCATGAAAATTTAATCAATGATCACCTTTAAACCCTTTTCATATGATAATCTTAAAATCCCAAAACAAAGGATAACCTAATCCGTGACTGACATATTCTATAAACCTTTTTCATCCTAAGCTGATTGATTTATGCCAAGTTAAACAATTCTATAGAAGCTCAAGTATTTACTTTACAAACGAAAGTGGCCCATCCCAGAATGTTTGGAATGTGGCCCAGTCCAAAGTTCACAGTGGGCTACCTGCAAGTAACTCAGCCTCATTCTTTCAACAAAATGGCTGTCTTCTAAAACTATATTCTACAATTTACACTTCAGTAAATCCTAAGATCATGACCCAGAAGCCTGTGACCAATACTAAGGCTCTTAGATGTGACACAAGTTTGAATTATACGTTGTGTGAAAGCCAAAACTGCAGTTTGTGGAAGAATGGGAGCAATGAGCTTCTAAAGTTAGCTTGTGTTCGTCCCGGTCTCAGAGTTTTTATGTTTTGAGCTCACAGGAGCTTAATCTGGTTAGTGCTGAGTAGAAAGGGGGAGGAAATGGGGTCAAATAGCTCCCAAACACATCCTAGTAGTCTCGGGGTCAACAGCCCTTCCTGATCCCTAATGCTCAATAGGCCTCCGTGACTGGCTCCCAACAAGCCTCCTCCTTGCCAGCTAGTGCTCCTTGAGGGTGATGTTTCTAATTTTAGCACTGAGTCCAGTGCAGTTGGCTTCTCAAATCTATTTATTGAGAGTTGAAGCCAACTGGTTTATCAGACTGGTCAGTGAGAACCAGAAAACATGCAGCTGGAAAATCTGACATGAGACAGGTAATAAGCAGTAAAAATCTGATAGAAAATGGGTAATAATAATGGGGAATATAAAATTATGAAAGCAAGGAAACAAATCAAAGGAGCATAAAAAGCCATCTCTTCCAATGCCCAAAAAGTAGATGTTATCATAGTTTTCCAGAGGAATAAAGTAAACTCCAAGAAGGTTAACTTTTGCACCCAAATTACTCAGGTCATGAAGGTTGAATCATGATTTGAACCCAACAAAAGAGATCTGGAAAAAAATGCACCTAAGTACTTAAAATTGGTTGTTTGTGGGTGGTAGGATTATGAGTTTTTTTCCAGTTTTTTTCTATTGGGTAGTTGTTACATGTATCACAAGAGTTATTAAAAGTTAGAATCATTACAACTGTATCAGGGCCCAGACTAAGGACAGGGAGCAGAAATTAAAGGTAGTAAGGAGAGCTCTCTATAGGAGCCAGGGAATCAGCCTGAAGCTGTTGTTCCTAAGATTGAGAAAACTAAGTGACTAAATTTATAAGCTGATGCAGTTCAGAGTGAGTTGGAGGAAGAAGGAGGGAACCAAGCCAGGCCAGAAAGCTGGCTCCTCAGTGTCCAGGGAAGCTCGACCTGAAGCAGGCCTGGAAAGAAGACTGACTTAATAGTTGGACACAAAGAAAAAGACATGATCCACCAGCAACCTAAACTCTGAGGTTGAACAGAATCTAAAATGTGAGGGCTTCAAAAGAGGGCTCATGCACCTCCCTGGGCAAGGCTCTAGAACTACACTTCATACACGTTAACCCTTATAACAGGGCCTCATGCCATGGTAATTTGTGTTATAAGAGTATGGGAATCTGGGTAAAAATAAAACAGGGGCACACAAAGACAGTGCTCCTTCAAACCAATGAAAGGAAAGCAAAGATGGTTGAAGACCTTGCTCAGTCAGAGTCCCTTTAAGTGGAGGGTAGCATGGAATCAGATGTGAGTGAATTAATAGACAGAACTGGGGTATGAATTCTGCTAAGAGAGAAGGCCCAGGTTCTCACTTGCATCTTCTTCCCCAAAGGAGCAAGAGGACCCTGGGTGAAATAAGATTTAATCTCAACCCCAACATTGTTTCTGCTCCTGATACATTTTCAAATTCTAAGAAGTATGCAAATAGTATCTATTATGCAAATAATAGCAAGAATAAATAAATATGTTGACATAAATATACCAAATAATAGAAAAGATATTATAAAAATCTTATAAAAGTATGGTCTAAATTAAGATTGGGGACACATAAAGACAACACATAAAGAAATAAGTAATAAATATATATTTATTTGTAAAAATTATATGCTGACCATGCAGGATTTCTTAGCAAAGATATACAAGTATGGGACTGGGGAATTGAGTGGGGGTGGTAAGTAATTGTAAAACAGGCCTGTAATTTCACATAAAAATTTATTCCATGACCCATTCTAAATAGCCATTGGTTCAATTTCAAATATCTCACAGAGCATTGGTAGTGAGTAAATATGTTCTTAATTTAATAAAATTAAATGATACCCCTTGTCATCCTACTAGAGGATTTGTTTACTGTATAAAAACACATCACCTGCTCCATTCAGGCTATAAATATAACTTATGAATTTTTAAAAAGTCTCATGTTTAAATACAAAAATAAATAAGTTAAATAGCAAGAATAAATAAATACATTAATAAATATATCAAACTTATAGAAAAGATATTACAAAAAGTCTGATAAAAGTGTGGTCTAAATTAAGTTTGAGGACACATAAAGACAATCACATAAGGAAACAAATAATAAATAAGATACACTGTGACCAGAACTAAATTAATATGACAAAGAGATGGTGGCTTGGGATCATACTTCCACAGGTAATGAGGACCGGGACTCTTGGCCTGGAATACTCTCAGCAGCACAATCACTTTCCTCCTATTTCATCTCCATCCATCGAAGAAGAATGTCTAGTTCCCCCAAAGCCTTCACAACTGCTGCCTGAGACTCAAGCTGAAAGAGACACACACTTATGTGGTCAGCAACTCATAAAGAGACAACAGAATTAGTTCTTCTCTCTCTTATGGGTAGGTCTATTGAGCATCGTAAGCAGAGCATTCTCTTCATGATGAAGAGCTTGAAGAAGTTATAGAACCTCACGATCTTTCAAGAGAAAGTGAAGTCATTGAGTTCATCACCCTGATCTTACAAATGGAAAATGAAGCACAGAGGTGTGGCAGAATCGAATCTTCAACCTAAACCTCTTGCATCACGAAGATCAAAGTGATGAGGCTGTCTTTTTAGCAAGGATGTGTGTGTGTGTGTGTGTGTGTGTGTGTGTGTAGGGATTGTCTACTGTCCATACTTCAATTGAACAAATATTTATTGTGCCAAGCACTGGGTTAGTAGCTAGAGGTTCAAAGGTGGATGGCACGATTTCTGTCCACAAGGGATTCACAGTTGAATGGGGAGATACACAGAAACAAGTAACTAAAGTGTAGTGTGGTGGATAAATGATGGAATCCCCACAGGACACCAGGGGAGGTATCTAACTCAGAGAAGCAGCCAGCACCTTCCTGGAGGTGGTGCCTAGACTGAGACTTAAGGATAAGAAGGAGTCAGTTAGTGAGGAGTGAACTCCAGGCCTTCCTGGCAGATGTGCAGAGGTGTTAAGGTGAGAAATAGCATGGCCTGGGTGTGTGAAGCTGTGAGTGTTTTTGAGAGTATGTGTAGGTGTGTGAATGTTAGAAAGCCATTGCCTCTCATTGTGTGAGGGAAGATTCAGATGTCTCTGGAGTGACTTGATGGAGTCATGGCCATTCCTTTTCCATATCTGGAGGATCATCCAGACAGGGCATCTTCTAGAGCCTGGATGGGTGCCCTTTGGGTTAAAGCGAGGGATGGTCCACATGAGTGCCAAGCACTGTTAACCTGAGGGCTACCGGATTTCTCCCAGCATGAATATCCATCCCACCCATCTATGATCTCAGTTCTAAAAACACACCCATCCCAATCAATGACAACATTGCATATACCTCTTCAAAATGATTCAGAATCTGGCTGTATTTCTTCATTGCTTCCTCCCCACAATGGCATGTCATGTGGGTATGCTGAAAAGGACCCAAAGAATAATAGATTTTATTAAAGATTCTGATTTTCTCCTGCCACTGACATGAAGCAGGTGGGACTCTTGCTCTTTCATTCACAACCCTATAGATACGTATTCCTGTAGAAAAGTTCTTTCAGGCCTCACACTTGGGATCATTAAGCTAGAAGAGAAAGCCAGCATTTTCGACTCAAACATGGAACTCATTGCTTGTTTTTAGAAACAGGCAGGCAGTTCTGAAGGAGTTTGTGATCACTGTATACCCCTGGTCTCCCCTCAGCTCTAGTCTAGTACCTCCATCCCAGAACTCCTTTGAGCCCCCATGGGAAAAGAGAACTGAATTCCCAGGTCCTGTTCAGACCATATTCTGATGTCAAGTCCAGTGACCTACTGAATGGTTGCTCAGATGCAGGAAGCACTAGTACATTCTAGCCATTCACTTACTTTCAGAAAAAGTGTAATTTCAAGGATCATAGCTAATTGACATTAATATCAAATAACTAGCATTTTATAGTTCTTTACATTTTGCAAAACACTTTTTGCATGGAACATTTAACCAAAAGTCAACAAAACTGAGTTATTACATAGTCATATGGCTCGATATAGACTCTTAAATCTTTTAGATTCAGTTTCTCTATTCATTAAATGGGAGTAGAAAAGAGAGCTTGATGGCTAAATCATTGAAGCTATGTGCTCCTTTGGATTCTGTTACCCAGAAACCAACTCACACAGAGCCGGAGGTCCTTCTTAATGGTAAGAAAGGAATTGGCGAGGTTGCTGATCTTCCTGAGGGTATGATGGTCTGGGGTCTGGTAGTTCTTAAATACTCTGTCCAGATAGAGTCTCAGTAAATGGCGGAGGAGGCAGCAACGATCCTCAGGCTGCAAAAAAGACAGGTGGGTTGGTGAGGCATGGAGGAAGGGCACAGACAAGACCAGGCTGATATAGATGCTCCCCACTTCTTCCCAGAGTTTATCTGGGCCAAGCACACACCTTTGTGTCTTGCAAAGACTCGGTCCTCCTTAAGATTCTGACATCGATGTTTCCATCATTGGCTTGCTAAACAGAAGAAGACAAAGCAAGAAAGCATGGGTCAGTAACTGCTGCCGGGGTCTTAGACATCAAGCTTCACATCTCTTTCCTGCCAAGGACCAGTGGGGGTCCCTTTCCAAAGCATTTAAAAATAATGAAGTACAGATATTTCTAGGGAGTTCAACTTTCTGGTAAGGAGTCTCCAGCCTGCCTCACTCATTTCATGGCCACATTTCCAGGGTTATCAGAACAAGAGAAACAGACAAGGAAGGAAAATGAGAGGCAGCCAGGAGAGGGAGCTGCCCCCTTACATACCACATTGTCCCGTATCTCTGAAAATCCATTTTGTATTTCCTGAAGGTGTGTGGTTACCACACAGCTTCCCAAGTGGAGTGTCTTCAACCCAGTAGAAGGAGTCCAGAGGAGAGAAAACACAGTAGAGAGAAGACTGAAGACAAGACCACAGCCTTTCATCTTGTGCCTGGAATCTGGAGAATGCCAGAATCAGGAGCTAGGAATTCAAAGGAAAGAGCATGACTTACTGATTTCCTCATCTCATCCTTAAGAAGCCAATCTAGCCACCAGGGATATGTCTCCCCCAGGTATCCACTGGGAGAAACTCAACAGCCTAATCTGACTCCAAACAGAGCAGCCCATTGATACAACTTACGAAGAAAAACTGCTGAGCCTCCTGTGAAGAGAAGCTTACAGGTGCCTGTCAGGGTCTAAGTGCTGGCTGGTGCCACAGGTTGTGGCTCCTTTATTCTGTCCCAGCTCCTCTGTCATTGCCCAGCAGGTAGGGCCTAGAACAGCAGGCAATTGCAGTGACTAGACAGAATGACATTTCAGGGGAAATGTCAAAACTTGTTTTGGAGAATTGACGTGTATCGCCTTCCCTTCCAGAATGCCAGTGTAGCTCACCCTTCTAGTCCCCTTAGGCCCCGTGGGGGAAATAGGGGAAAACAATCTCGCAGAAGATGGGCTGCACCACTTGGGGAGAATTCTCTGGGTTTTATGGCCACCCACAGGGCAAAGACACTTAGCTGTGTTTGGCATTTGTATGAGATCAGGTGGTTATTTGAGGATAATACTCATTTCAGCCCAGAAGGCAAATAGAAAGTCGATGATTTCATAACAGTCCTACTGCCAGGGAAAGGCAAGACATGATAGGCAATCAGTTGGGTTCCACCTAACACTTCTCCCTCCTGAGTCTGGGACTCCACAGCGTCCTATGCAGGCCTTAGTCAGGCACTCCTGAGGTGAATTCAGAGTACACTCTTTCCTGGCCATGCCAGGAAGTGAACCCAAAAACTAGAGAAGAAAGGCAATGAAGGAATTCATTTCTTCTTGGGTGAGCCTGCTCAGTAAGAGAGCAGTTTATGGTGTCTGCTGAATTTTAAGACAAAGTGATAATGAGCTGGGGTTAGGGTAAGATGATTGAGGCACATTGGATGCAAAATGTAAAAAGGCACTAAAAAACTGCATTGTAGAGACTAAAAACATTTTAAGCAATATTATAATGAATTTTAAAAATTCACAATGAACAAAATATCAAAATTTTAAATAAAGACAGAATTCACAGTTCCATACTAAGCCAAGTTGGAGTAAAAGGAAAACTGCACTGCTATTCATGTTTCCATGTATTTTAAATGGTTAACTTTTTTCTCAAATGAATATAATTAAAATATTATTGATGAGTTTTCTTCCCTTAAAACCAGAAAAGTAAAATTATAAGAAATTTCGTTTGGGACATAAATCAAATATTTAAACTTAAAGTCATGGGTTATAATAAACCTACAATTTAATTTTTCAATATTTTAACCACTTTAATATTTTGAAAAAAATAACATGCATAAAATACATAAAGACATGTATGTACAGGTATATATACATATATATGTATGGATGTTCATCTTTCCTTCTGCCTTGGCTCCATGACTTGGCATAGCACTGATAATCATTATCACTTATTGAATTTTTCCTGTGCCAGGCAATATGGTAGACATTTTTAACATTTGTGGCCACCTGAGATAATACCAAATGTAGGAAAGAGAATAAGCAAACAAAACCCAAAAGTATGAGAGAGAGCTCTGTGTTTGGAGACAATAGAATTGAGTCCAAACAAATACTTGCTTTACCAAATCCCACCTACATGGATCTTCTCAGTTTACCCAGGACTCAAGGGGTTTCCCAAGATACAGGGATTTCAGTTTTAAAACTAGAAAAATCACAGATAGACCAGAATGAGTTGACCACCCTACTTCTACATGAACTTAAACTTGTTAACTCACCTCTCTGAGTTTCATTTTCTTAACCTAACAATGGTGATAATTAAACTTAATCCAGAAACTTGTTTTGACATTTAAATAAAATAATCTCTGATTTATACACCTAGCACATAGTGAATGATCAATTCAATTTTGTTTTAGAGATTGATGTTAGTTGCCTTGAATTTAGTGGGCGAATAGTAAATCTACCTTAAAATTCAACGGTTGGATCAGCACCCACTATTAATGAGCACCCACTATTCTGAATGTTGTGCTAGGCACTGAAAAGATAAACATGACAGTTCCTTGTCCTCTAAGAGATTTTGTCCACTTGGAAAAGTCTCCTTTAGACATGGTCCTGAACACACATGGGTAGATGGTTTGGAGGACCAGGCTGATCCCCAGAACAATGGGAGTGGTGTCAGTAGAGGGGATGTTCTCTCACCTGAGCTCAGGAAGGGCTGCTGCTTCTGGTCTCCTAGGAGTCTGTTTCAAGACGAAAGGCTTCTGATTATTTATATACATATAGCTGTCACATGAAGGAAGTGAGCTCAAACAGGTGGGGCTGGAAGTCCCTTGGAATTTCTCTGGTGGCACTACACTTCCTCAAGTCCTATAGTAGTTTAATTGCAGGCTGGACTGCCCCAACACCTTCCTCCTCCAAGAAGCACTGCCTAAGGGGATTACTGGCTGTAAATGTGAATAAAGGACTTGCCTCCTTCTGGCTCCACCTTCCTGCTTGGTAAAACGATAGGATAGAGAAGAGCTGAATTACAGAACTGGAAGAAGTTCTAGCGGATGCTCTTGCCCTCTCTTCTGAATCTGGTTCTCCTTAACCAAGTTTCTTCCCAGCCCCAGACACTGTGGGCTCATTCCTGATGTTTCTCTTTGGCTTTTGCTATCTCCATGCCCCCACCCCCACCATTACTCTCCAACATGACCACCTTTCTTTCCCCTCAGTCATCGTTAAAGACGAGACCCTTTGGAGTCGATCATACTCAGTGATTTATCACAGAAACAAAGAACAGAGTTCCATATGTTCTCACTCATAAACGGACCTTGAACAATTATAATTCTATAAGAAAGCCATTGGCAGTAGTGGGAAACTGTGGGGGAGGGATGGGATTGGCAGTTGAGGGAAACTGCTAGGGGAGGGAGGGGCATACCTCATCAACAAGGGTACCTGCATGATCAATGTTTATATACCTAACCTTGAAATGTACCCCACATCTTTATAATAAAAATTTTTTATAAAAAGAGGATACCCAATTTTTAAAAAATTTCTGTACTATGCTGTCCTACACCAATCCCTCCCTTCTCTGACTTCTGATAGCAGATTTTCCTTTGACACCTGAGAGTATCTGATGTTGCTCTCTGTTTCGTGGGTCTTTTCTCCCTAATAAAACTGCAAGATTTTCTTAGGCAGGGACTAGTCCATCATGTAGGATCATGACAGACAAGATTAAATGCAAAGCACCCGAAATGAATTACAGACAACGCTTTGAAAACCATCAAGATGGTAAAGAGCATATGTTCCTTTTCAAATTTTTTCCTACTCAGTATCTAAAACTCTGAGGTCTTAAATATGTGTCCAGAGATTCCACAGTTTATAGGACGACTTCGAGATACCATCAATCTTTCTGGATTGCAGTTTACAAATCTGTAAAATAGGCTGGGCGCAGTGGCTCATGCCTGTAATCCCAGCAGTTTGGGAGGCCGAGGTGGGAAGATTGTCTTAGCCAGGCGTGGTAGTTTATGCATATAGTCCCATCTACTTGGAAGACTGAGGTGGAAGGATTGCCTACACCCAGCAGGTCAAGCCTGCAGTAGCCACAATCATGCCACTGCACTCCAGTCTAGGCAACAGAGTGAGACTCTGACTCAAAAAATAAATAAATAAAACAAATCTGTAAAATGAGAGAAGCAGAAAGATAATGTGTAAGGTCTTTTCCCATTCTGATATTCATTGATTCTTTGCTCTTCTACCTTTTGGGTCAGAATGCTCTTTTAAACATCTTTCAATGTTTGCTTAAAGTTTCCTGAAAATGAAGACCACAACTTTTCATTGTAATGCTTGATAAATGTTAAAAATATGTGTGACTATCTAATCTAAATATACCTAAAACCACTTAAGCTCATGCTTGTTTTTCCATCATTGGTGCTAAGTAAACAAAGTCTTGATCATCCATATGTGTGATTAAAGTAAAAGTAGGAAGCCTGGTCTAACAAGAATACTTGAAATCAAGGTATTCAGTAAAACTGGGTTTATGTAGGCTGTACTCATACCAGCCAACTCCTTTCTGTTAAAAGAAGAACTCAATTGCTTTGTATTAATCTACCTGTACTGATTAATTAAACTCAGTTATTCACATACAATCCCACTTCTACTTTAATAAGCAAGCCTTCCCTTTTCCTATATCAAAGTGCTTTATTCCTTGAAAATCCACTGACCAGATCCCATGCCACACTCTGTGCAGATGCTGATTCTCCTCATCTTCTCTACAGAACCTTTTCTGCCTCACCCTAACCTCTCTTTATACCCCCATTACCCAAGGCAAAACTGATGCCTCCCACCTTTGCAACTCAACTTTTTACCCATATAAACCTGTTTTGTATTCATCACAGTCAATTACACCCTTTTTGTTACATATCTATCCCTCCCACTAGCTGAGAGCTCCTTGTTCATCATCTTGGTCCCAACACCTGACGGCTCCTGGTAGGAGATGCTCAGTTAATACTTGATGACTATCAAGTAAGGTATTGACTTATCTCATTGCTTTTTCTTTCTGCTACATCCTAAAGCATGACCTTCATGATTTAACTTACAAAGGGACCCTGGGGCTCCCCTGACACGTCTTCTCCAGTAGCGCCTAGTGGGTCCAGGGATCTTCTGGGTTAGGGAATTCTATCCCAACGGCCAGAATTTCCTTATCTAATGATAGACTGTTCCTCCTGACTGTTAGAGTGAGAAGTGACTGTAAGTACATCCAGTCCAATTCCCTCATTTTGTAAATGAAGAGACTATATAGTTTAGAGAATTAAGTAACTTGTCCAACATCACTCGGCTGGTAAAAGGCAGACCCAAAATAAGCCGGGTATGGTAGTGCGCACCTGTAGTTCCAACTACTTGGAAGGAAGGATAACCTGAGTCCAGCAGGTCAAAGCTGCAGTGGCTGTGAGCGTGCCACTGCACTCCAGCCTGGGCAACAGAGTGAGACTCCA